ATTCAAGGAGCGGTTGATCAGAAGAGAATCATCTTGAGAATACTGATCAGGGGCAGGCCACCCAGAGTTTCTTTGACTTAAGAATAGGTCCCTCCGATGTTCAATCGAGGTAAGTTAAGTCGCTTCCACGCTCTTTCAGAGGAAAACTACTCCAAGAGTACATTGGAGCCAACTACCACAAGAATCGGCTAATCAATGATGAATCCATTTGTGGTACGAACTCTGGGGCAGACCATCTCGAGCACGTCTCATGGCAAGCCGCTCAAGCAAGTTCATTCTCATCAACAACTGTTAAGTTTAAAACGATGTCAGGAAGTCAGGCTTGTCCTCCACTTTCCCACATAACCCAGAGCCCAATCTGCATTGGCAACTACCAAAAGTCCGCCACGTCGGCACCTGCATTCCCAATTACCCGTCTGCATCATATGCATCATACGCATCGCATTCGATTTCATAAGCATCTTGCATCATATGCATACCCATAATCATATCATATTTCCTCAGCTCTTGCATCTCCGTGCATTAGCATTTGCACTTGCATTTCCATTTGATATGAAATATCATTATCATCAAGCATTCGCATATGCGAGTTCAGATCCAGGATCAATTTTGAAGATTTCCAAGATCATCATCAACCCAGTCAGGGGAATACCTTGCAAGATCGTGGTTTTTCTCCCACAAGAGTCAGAGGGTATCAAGATCATAATCAGCCCAGTCAGGGGCATTCTCCGCAGGACCGTGGGCGTTCCCCACGAGGATGTGCAACTTTTTTTTGTTGGACAAATTCAGGAGCTCCAAAGCAACCATCAGCCCAGTCAGGGGCATGTCATTCAAGACTGTGGGTGTTCCCCACGAAGTTGTGCAACTTTTGTTGGGCAGAGTTCAAGAGCTTCAATGCAATCATCAGCCTAGTCAGGGGCATTATCCGCAAGACCGTGGGTCCTCCCACAAAATTCAAGATCACTAAAGCAAAATTCAGCCCAAACCAAGGGCATCTTTTCAAGACCATGGGTGTATTGCATGATGTATTGCAACCTCGTGGTTAATCAGATCTTCAAATCAACAATCAGCCCGGACAGGGGCATCTCCAGTAAATCCATGGGCGTTTCTCAGTGAGTTGTCTCCAGAAATCTTCAGCGATAAGTGGCAATCTCTTCAGAGAAGCTTATCCATCTTCAACGATAAGTGGCAATCTCTTGGGAGAAGCTTATCCATCTTCAGTGATAAGTGGCAATCTCTTGGGAGAAGCTTATCCATCTTCAGCGATAAGTGGCAATCTCTTCAGAGAAGCTTATCCATCTTCAGTGATAAGTGGCAATCTCTTGGGAGAAGCTTATCCATCTTCAGTGATAAGTGGCAATCTCTTCAGAGAAGCTTATCCATCTTCAGCGATAAGTGGCAATCTCTTCAGAGAAGCTTATCCATCTTCAGTGATAAGTGGCAATCTCTTGGGAGAAGCTTATCCATCTTCAGTGATAAGTGGAAATCTCTTCAGAGAAGCTTATCCTTCATCAACGATAAGTGGCAATCTCTTGGGAGAAGCTTATCCATCTTCAGTGATAAGTGGCAATCTCTTGGGAGAAGCTTATCCATCTTCAGTGATAAGTGGCAATCTCTTGGGAGAAGCTTATCCATCTTCAGCGATAAGTGGCAATCTCTTGGGAGAAGCTTATCCATCTTCAGCGATAAGTGGCAATCTCTTCAGAGAAGCTTATCCATCTTCAGTGATAAGTGGCAATCTCTTGGGAGAAGCTTATCCATCTTCAGCGATAAGTGGCAATCTCTTGGGAGAAGCTTATCCATCTTCAGTGATAAGTGGCAATCTCTTCAGAGAAGCTTATCCATCTTCAGCGATAAGTGGCAATCTCTTCAGAGAAGCTTATCCATCTTCAGTGATAAGTGGAAATCTCTTGGGAGAAGCTTATCCATCTTCAGTGATAAGTGGCAATCTCTTCAGAGAAGCTTATCCTTCATCAACGATAAGTGGCAATCTCTTGGGAGAAGCTTATCCATCTTCAGTGATAAGTGGCAATCTCTTGGGAGAAGCTTATCCATCTTCAGTGATAAGTGGCAATCTCTTCAGAGAAGCTTATCCATCTTCAGCAATAAGTGGCAATCTCTTCAGAGAAGCTTATCCATCTTCAGTGATAAGTGGCAATCTCTTGGGAGAAGCTTATCCATTTTCAGTGATAAGTGGCAATCTCTTCAGAGAAGCTTATCCTTCATCAACGATAAGTGGCAATCTCTTGGGAGAAGCTTATCCATCTTCAATGATAAGTGGCAATCTCTTCAGAGAAGCTTATCCTTCATCAACGATAAGTGGAAATCTCTTGGGAGAAGCTTATCCATCTTCAGTGATAAGTGGCAATCTCTTGGGAGAAGCTTATCCATCTTCAGTGATAAGTGGCAATCTCTTGGGAGAAGCTTATCCATCTTCAGCGATAAGTGGCAATCTCTTGGGAGAAGCTTATCCATCTTCAGCGATAAGTGGCAATCTCTTCAGAGAAGCTTATCCATCTTCAGTGATAAGTGGCAATCTCTTGGGAGAAGCTTATCCATCTTCAGCGATAAGTGGCAATCTCTTGGGAGAAGCTTATCCATCTTCAGTGATAAGTGGCAATCTCTTGGGAGAAGCTTATCCATCTTCAGTGATAAGTGGCAATCTCTTCAGAGAAGCTTATCCATCTTCAGCGATAAGTGGCAATCTCTTCAGAGAAGCTTATCCATCTTCAGTGATAAGTGGCAATCTCTTGGGAGAAGCTTATCCATTTTCAGTGATAAGTGGCAATCTCTTCAGAGAAGCTTATCCTTCATCAACGATAAGTGGCAATCTCTTGGGAGAAGCTTATCCATCTTCAGTGATAAGTGGCAATCTCTTGGGAGAAGCTTATCCATTTTCAGTGATAAGTGGCAATCTCTTCAGAGAAGCTTATCCTTCATCAACGATAAGTGACAATCTCTTGGGAGAAGCTTATCCATCTTCAGTGATAAGTGGCAATCTCTTGGGAGAAGCTTATCCATCTTCAGTGATAAGTGGCAATCTCTTCAGAGAAGCTTATCCATCTTCAGCGATAAGTGGCAATCTCTTCAGAGAAGCTTATCCATCTTCAGTGATAAGTGGCAATCTCTTGGGAGAAGCTTATCCATTTTCAGTGATAAGTGGCAATCTCTTCAGAGAAGCTTATCCTTCATCAACGATAAGTGGCAATCTCTTGGGAGAAGCTTATCCATCTTCAGTGATAAGTGGCAATCTCTTCAGAGAAGCTTATCCTTCATCAACGATAAGTGGCAATCTCTTGGGAGAAGCTTATCCATCTTCAGTGATAAGTGGCAATCTCTTCAGAGAAGCTTATCCTTCTTCAGCGATAAGTGGCAATCTCTTCAGAGAAGCTTATCCTCCTTACATCCTTTTGGTGTCGGGTTTATCTTGTTTCGCTCCATCATCCTTTTGGTGATGGGTCTGGCATCCTTTTGGTGTCATGACTAGCTTGTTTTCCATTATCCTTTCGGTAATGGACTCCTTACATCCTTTTGGTGTCGGGTTTGCCTTGTTTCGCTCCATCATCCTTTTGGTGATGGGTCTAGCATCCTTTTGGTGTTATGATTAGCGCCTCCGCTCCATCATCCTTTTGGTGATGGGTCTGGCATCCTTTCGGTGTTATGATTAGCGCCTCCGCTCCATCATCCTTTTGGTGATGGGTCTGGCATCCTTTCGGTGTCATGATTAGCGTATTTTCCATTATCCTTTTGGTAATGGACTCCTTACATCCTTTTGGTGTTAGGATTGATTGTGTTTCGCTCTATCATCCTTTTGGTGGTAGTAGCCATGTGTGTTTTGTCCCATCATCCTTTTGGTGATGGTGACCTGTTGCTATTTTTCCACAGTTTGCTTAAAGTTATACCTCATCCAGCACTTTCAATTCCCAAGTTTTCCTTTGCTTTTCGGACAAATTCAGGGTCTTCTTTATATCTAATTGCCTCCTACCTTGAAGGAGTGAGCGCTAGAGTCGTTCATCTTACTCGGTCTAAGCCAATTAGATAGGGGCATCTGTCATACCCCTAATTTGTCCTACCTTTGTACAGCGTCCATTTTGTATATTCACCCACTTGCGCTATTCGAAAAATTCAAAAAAATATGTCGTTGCAAGTGCTTGTGAGAATGAGTCAGGATTCAGGTTTATCAGGGCAACTATGTTTTCAGTATGTGTTATAATCCATCTGATGACAACCCGGTCTCGCTTTGACTAAAGTTTGCTTCAAGATTAAGATTATGGTTGCATTATGTAAAGAAGTGTATATGTGTAATGGCAATTAGGGTTTATGCTTCAAAATGAGTTTTAGTGACGTTGTCAAAACAAGTTCAAGTTGTTTAGAAAAGTCAATTGGCGGGTATTCAATGCAGACATTTTGTTGCTCATTTTGGTTTTAATTAAGGTTTCAAGCTTGTCATCAAAACGGTATTTAAGACCGAACTTTGTTTGAATTAAAGGGTGCAAATATTATATGTTAAAGATCTCTAAAAAAAGATGACCCAATTACAAGGATGAACAATTGCAAGTGACAAGGCCATTATCATTCAATTATAATATTACAAAGAAAATGAAGTGAGATGTATTGTTACATAACTTTATGCACCTCATCGGTCACATATTTGTTATTAAAAAGAAAAAGAAGAATCCATGGAAATCGACCAACAAAGAGTCCAATATCACTTTCCAAGATGGGTCCCTCAAGCTGCAACCATACGTCCACTTGCACAAAAGCCAGCTAACCTTTAATGCATTATAATTACACAACTGCAGGTAAAGACAAAGAACCTTTGATGAAGTTGTACCATTCTGCACACCCAGTAGAACACCACTCCTCACAAAAGTCTGCTGCAAGGGAACCACGAGACAGTCCACAAAAAAAAAACAACAACAAACCCGACCTACTGCTATGACACACCTACCCAACACCTTGGCACTCGTGTCTTCGATTCGGTGGGAAAGAAGACGAAGATGAACGTGGATCTGGAATCCTTGGCGGAAGCCACTTCTGGAGCTATAGGATCATTGCTCAGTTCAACAATTCTCTACCCACTTGATACCTGCAAGACTAAGTATCAAGCCGAGGCACGTTCTCATGGTAATCGAAAGTACAAGAATCTCTCTGACGTGTTATGGGAGGCAGTATCTAACCGTCGGGTGCTTTCCCTTTACCAAGGCCTTGGAACAAAGAATCTTCAATCCTTCATTTCACAGTTTATCTACTTCTATGGATACAGTTACTTTAAAAGGCTGTACCTGGAAAAAAGTGGATATAAATCCATTGGGACAAGAGCAAATTTGTTAATCGCCGCCGCTGCTGGGGCTGTCACAGCCATTACAACTCAGCCCCTGGATACAGCCTCTTCAAGGATGCAGACAAGTGCCTTTGGAAAGTCTAAGGGACTACTGAAAACTCTTACAGAAGGTTCATGGAGTGATACATTCGATGGCCTTAGCATTTCCTTGCTTCTGACCTCAAACTCTGCTACACCTAAAACCATTCTCCACACCAGACAATGACCTGCGGAATTGTACCGTTAAAACCACCTCAGACCAACTCTGCTACGACCTGCAAAACCTGCTGCGCACAACAGCCTGCTCCACCATCCTACGACTTCCAGCAACACAACCCACAACCATCTGCAAAATAACCGTTTCACCACAACCTCCATAAAAAAAAAAAGGGCAGTAGAAATGAGTTTTGGGCAAGAGCAATATAAAAAGGGGGGAAGATTTTCCAATTCAAAGAGGAGAGGGGGAACTGATTCGTCAGCTAAAAAAAAGAAAATCAGTAACTCACCTTCATGCTTCTCCTTCCTCCTTCAACATCAAAAACACCTCTTCATCTTCTAACCAACCACAACACCACTGCGAATTCCATTTCAGAATTTCAATCAAATCCTTCAATAACAAAACTGAACCCACAATCTCTCAAAAAACTCAGATCCATGACCAATCGAAACAGAACATAGAAGAAGAAAACGCAGTGAAAACGAAGCAGGATAATCCAAGTTTCAATCAACCAAATCTTCATTAGAACCTTCTCCGTAAACCAGTTTTGAGACCTTTCCGCCGCCTCCGACAACTTGCGAACCATCCACCAACAAAGCCACAACGATTCGCAATGTCGTGCGTGCCTACCGACTCACGTGTCTGCAGCACTACAAACCATGAATAATGAAAGGACCTGCAAAGCTACAAGCAGAGGATGTTGAGATAAAGTTTGACTGATAAACCTGCTAACTGGGACAGCATTATCACTAGTGGAAAAGTTGCCATATGAAGGAAAATCCAATCGCTTAGGTTGCAGTTTTCAGATGAAGGATGATCCAATCAAAATGGTTCTTGAGAAAATTGAAAGAGTGATCAAGGCATTACCTCAAGACAACACGAAATTTGTCACTATCACGATATAGGATATCTCTTTCTTGAAGTAGCTGCCAACGGCTTGTCAAAAGAGGTATTAGACTTCCTGCATTATTGTTATACACTAACATCAGAGTACGATTCATTGCGCTTGACCATAAGGATATTTATCTGAAGGAAGAGAAGCCTTACATTATCTTAGAGATAGAACACTTTGCTGACATTTTGGGCAAGACTGAACCTGGTCACTGTTTTGGAAAGATCTGCATAGGCAATTGATAGTGTTACATAAGTAGCATGGAGTTTCACCTGTTAAGATTCATAACCAGCTATTTATGAGCACAACCAAAAATAAATTTTGAAAAAAAGCAACACCAAGTCACAACAGTATTTTCGCAAAGTCACTTCAAGCTTATGAGACATCAAACCTGTCAATTGAAAGAAAGAGGACAATTCATCAATAGGTGTAAACTCAAAGGATTAGTGAAAAGTAGGGACAAAGAATAGGGGCATACAACTTTTTCACTAAAGCCTATACAAGAGCGGGCCACAAAACCAATGCACTCTACACAATATGTACCTGCCAAAAATACACTGTCAATAGGTCATGAAATAATAGAATAACAACAAAGTTCAGCTGACAATTGCAAAAGGCACCTGCATAGGTGATACAAGTAAGGCCCATCAGCATTGAAAGACCAATGAGAAGGATGCCCCACGGTCCACATGATGCGAAAGAGGCCGTTTCCATAACCTGAAAAGTGATACATCAAAAAACGTTGGGCTCAGCGAAAATAAGCAGTCCAATTCCTGCAGATTCATAACACATTGTACAAAATACCCTTTGCAACTTGTACCAACCTACATGACAAAAACTCAACAAAGAAAAGTGAGAAGTGGGGGTATTTCACACCGTACCTCAAATTTGGGCCCACAACAAGACCTCCAAGTCGTACGATCCCATAACATTATACCAATTTCCAGCACAACACATTGAAAAAAAAACACAAAACCCTTCTTTCTGCTTCTACCTATAAAATGGCATACTCAACTCCATTAAAAAACCCTAGGGGCCTCCAACCAAAACCCTAGCCACAACCCTTTCCGTTTCCACCAACTCCACCTGCATCTTCATCCCTAACCTCACTCAAAGCCATCTGAACTCACTCTTCAACCACATAACCAACTTCCATTCAACACCATCAAACCACCTCAAGAACATCAAACCTCCATGGATTCTGTCAACAACTCACAAGCTCTCTCACTACCACCATTTTTGTACCACCATGGAAATCCACGCAGAATCCAGTTGTGGCTCACATCATCTCTCAACTCTGCTCACACGAACCCAACCCAAACACTTCCTTCAAACACGACTTTGAACAACAAACTTCAACATCGTACTCATTTCACCAATAAACCTACCCAGAAATTTCAAACAGCCAACACAAACTGAATCTCAAAGCTTCAAGATGTTGATTGCTCCAATTTCCGCCGTTCACAAACCAAAATCCAGAAGCATGCTTCACGAATTTCAACCCAGAAAACTTCAAGTTTCCATCGCTCGAACATCATTCAAACAACCTTCACATCCCCAAACCTCACAACTCTGTGAAAACTGCCGTGAAACCTCAAACCCAAATTCAACTTCCAACCCCAAATCCATTTTGAAATCAAAGCCCAGAAACCTCTACGCTCTCCATCACACCTCATTCTCTTCATTCACACTTCAATCCTCTCCAAACCATTTTTGTTTCAACCAACTAAATTCCCAAATCTCCAAATCGACCAGTCGTTCCTTAAATGTCCCAACTTAAAACCTAATCTTGAAAAGAAAAGGAGATGAATAGAGGAGCGCGATTGAGATGAAATTAGAGAGAAAACGGTAGAATCATCTTTGAACCTGCTTCGAAAGGGGGGAGTGGTCGTAAGCAGAGATTACGTGAGTGAAAGACGGAGAAAGTTGGGATGGCTGTGTTCGTCCATTTTGTTTTTTTTTCTTTTCTTTTTTTATTATTTTAAAATATTGTTTTTATTCTGTTAATGGGCCTAGTAAGCCCGTTTCTTTTACAGCATTTCCCCTGTCTGATGACAGTCCCACGTTTTGGGATGATGGGCCTTACAAAGCCCAAATGAACCCCCACTTTTTGACCCCCTTTTTTCTGTTTACACCCCTCTCTGTCTTTTTTCATTTTACTTATTTTATTTGATAAATTATCTTAGTTTATGTATATATTATTATATATTATTGATTAGTAAATATTTTGAATATATTGTTTTATATTACTTATAGTTTATATGTACTTTATATTTAAGTTTGGAGATTTATTTTCTTTTAAAAAAAAGTTAATTTCATTTCGCATCTATTATTGGGAATTTTGTCCCATTTTCTGTTTAGGTCAACGACGAGACCTCCGTAATTCATTACCAGTCAACTTATTGATAAATAACGTTGGATCTGAGACCATTTCGCTTTCAACGCTTATCCTCCTAAAACCTCGGTCTCGTACCGAGTGTAACTTCGAAAATATTTTCAAGTCATATTTTCTTTGTATTGGATTAAAAATAGAGGATTGGGTGTAGACCCCTTCTTCTTCGAGTGTTGGGATGCCCACTGTAGTGAGGGTGGTTTCGACACTCGTCTTTCAATACGAAGACGCTTCTAAACTGTTCTCTCCTAAAAAACCTCGGCTCCGTGTCGAGTACATTTTCAAAACTTCGGTCTCGTGCCGAGTCCATTTTCAAATCTCATCTCCTTAAAATAAATTCTTTGTATTGAATTAAAAATAGAGGATTGGGTGTAGACCCCTTCTTCTTCGAGTGTTGGGATGCCCACTGTAGTGAGGGTGGTTTCGACACTCGTCTTTCAATATGAAGACGCTTCTAAACTTTTCTCTCCTATAAAACCTCGGCTCCGCGCCGAGTACATTTTCAAAACCTTGGTTCCGTACCGAGTCCATTTTCAAACCATAATAAATTGATTTCTCTTTGTATCGAATTAAAGAGAGGAGATTGGGTGTAGATCTCTTCTTCTCCGAGTGATGGGATGCCCACTGTAGTGAGGGTGGTCTCGACACTCGTCTTTCGATACGAAGACGCGACTTCTTCCACCACCTCTCCTTTCACAACTCCTTTCCGAAACCTTTCCCACCTAAAACCTCGGTCCTGTACCGAGTGCATTTCAAATCTTTTCATCACAAAAACTTGAATGGTCGTGGAGTGGTTAGGCGTAGGCCTTCTCCTATCCCGAGTGCTGACGTTTACTGTAGGGTTCTCTGTCGCAAAGCACTTACCATTCAAAACCAAAAACATCTTTAATAAGAGAACGAAGTTCTCTTTGCATTGAATTAAAGAGAGAGGATTGGGTGTAGACCTCTTCTTCTCCGAGCGTAGGGATGCCCACTGTAGTGAGGGTGGTTTCGACGCTCGTCTTTCAATATGAAGACGCCTCGTTCGCCACACCCTTTTATAACAAAAACTTTGAGATAAAGAATTGGGTACTACCCGTAGGGGTTACTATCCGAGGACCTGTCTCGCCCCCTAAAAAACAATCCAACCAATCAAACGTGACACCTTGCCTCGCATGGCGAAAACCAGTCTCCCAAAGGATATGTTACGTCCGTTCTACCGCAAACAGGTAACGCCTAAGTCTCCAACGAGCGAGCAGCAATACACCTAAACTGCTAGAATGCGCACGATAACATCATCCACACAAACACACCGGTTATCCGCACACCGTAGGCCGAACTACGGCTGCTCTGATTCTTTACTTTTTCAAGTAAAGATACGTAGGCACAAGGGCCACAATCCTTGCCGAGCACATTCCCCCTATATCTGTAGTTCCCCGAACTACGTCGACTCTGACTTTCTCATGTCTATTGAGAATACGTAGGCATAGGACTGCGAAGTCCTACCGAGTCTGTTCTTTCTCTTTTTCCCCGTTCTCTCTTTCCCCTGTTTCTAACCCTTTCTCTCTATCTTTTGGAACACTTTTATAGCATAATGTTTAAGCAAATAAGTTCACACATCGACAAACAAAAGGTTCCCATCGAGTACGATGGATGCGAGGGGTGCTAATACCTTCCCCTCGCATAACCGGCTTCCGAACCCGTTCTTAGTCGCGAGACCATCTTATCCATTTCTTTCTTAAGGTT